CGTTAACCACCGTCGATTGCCATCCACCTTTTTTTGGCACGATTTTCAACTCCCAAAAAATTCTTTCTCTTCCTTTCAACCTTTCTTTCATTTAATCAGTTTAAATTTTTGAAAATTGCTCTCTATTTTTCTATATCTAAAGAAAATTATGCCCATAAATCCTTAGATCTAGTCATTAGCGAGAGGATTTTTTCACCATTGACAATTGTCTCTTCTTCCTCTCCCACTCCATTTTCTTTCTGCATCGGTTTGCTCAAAAACACCTTTCTCTTCTAGAAAACTCAAAAACATGAATCAAATACAAAAAAGATAAAAAACCGAAAACCTCACTCTTTTTTTTTCTTATTTTTGTTGGTTAATTCTGTTAAGTTTACAATTGATCCTAAGTTTTGAAATGAAAAAATCAAATGATCAAAATTACTTAAATATGTTTTTGAACAAGTATGAAAGTCCCTTGACATCTTAAATTGGTTAAGTACTTATGCAAAAAAATGGCTCCAAAGACCTTGATTTTTGAGTTTCACATTGCAAGTATCGATACTCTTGAGTAAGGTATTGTTAGCTTTATTTTTGTTTCGACATAACAAAATTGATTAAACTTAAAGAGTTTTGAAAATGATGAAAGATATTTTTAAATATGAAGAAGATCTTCAAAAGAGTATTAAAGCTAAACTTAAAGGAAATATATATTGAAATACTTTGAATATGAATGATCATGCTCTTGAACTTGAAGAAATATCCTTTAATTTTCTCAAAGATCTCTTGTTTTCAAAATTCAAAGTACAAGCTTAAGAATCAAATTTTCGAAAGAAGAGACTTGAATCTTTAATGAAAAGAAAACAAAATCTATTTTTTTTAATTACGGGAAAAATTGATTTTGGAGAAAGAGAAGTCAATTCTTAAATAGAGATAAATAGTGAAAAATCGATTCTAGAAAAGAAGAAGTCAGTTCTTGAAAGACAAAAGTTTCAAGATTTGTGAAGAACCGATACCTCAGAGATAAAGAATTGATTCTAGAGAGATAGAATGAAAAACGTAGAAAAACAAAGAAAAAAAATCAATTCTAGGTGGAAAAGATATCGGTTCTTGAAGAACTAAAAGTATAACTTGGAAACTTGGCAACCAAGAAAGAGATGATATAACTAGAAAAAAGTGGAGTGGCAAAAATCAAGCTTAAATTTAAATTTTAGCACTAAGCCACAGTGAAGAACTGACACCTTGAGGCAAAATAATCAATTCTCTAAAATTCCAAAAATGTCATCTTTGAACCTAATTATAAAAGGACCGACACCTCAAAATAGAAGAATCAATTCTCCAAAGACAAAAAGCTACATACTTTGCAAAGGACTGACATCTCAATAGCAAAGAATCAATTCTACAAATATGATAAAATTTTGCAAGCTGGCTGGAACATACAAGAAATTATTCAAATTTCACTCTTACTAGTACAAATCATAGAGGCTATAAATATTCACCATGAGGACGTTAAAGCAGGGATTTTGATAGATTTTGAATGAGTTTGAATCATCTTTGAAAAAGAAATAAGCGAAAAAATAAAAAAAAACTGTTAGTAAAAAGTTCCTTTCTTTGAGCAAGAATAAAACCTAAAGATTACATTTTTATTTTTCAATTGATCTTTCTTGAGCTTAAACTTTCTGTGGCCATCCATATCTTTGAAAAAGCTCTTACTTTTTTGATCTTAAACTTCTTTATCAACCTTTCTAGAGGTTTTAAGTTAAAGATTCAACAGAATTTACTGTTGCATTGGTTATATCAAGCAACAGGTAGAGGGGTTTTGCTTGATCTTTTATGAGGTTGCATTTTGTGTAAAGGTTGTGCTTAAGCTTGAAAAAAGTAGGGTCTTGATAGAAGTTACACTTGATCCTGCAAAATGGACGTTGTAAAGGTTACGTCCGATCTTGCAAAAAACAAATTGTAAAGGTTACATCTAACCCTGTTAAAAAGGTGAGCTAATAATGGATTCAAACTCTTTGTGCTATCAAGGAAGATAATGTAGGCATTAGAACATTGAACCTCTATAAAAATCCTACTGAGTACTTTTTATTTTTTTATTCTTTACTCATTCATTTTATAGTTTACTTTGTTGTTTCATTTTTTCATATTTTTGCTTCATCTTCAAAGTTTTTTGAACAGGGGAGAAATTTTTATTTAACAACCAATTCACCCCCTTCTTGGTAGTTTTACTTTAAGCTAATATTTCTAACAAGTATTAATACCTTCATGTAGGTATCGATACTGTTGAATGAAGAATTGATACCTTTTCAAAGGTAAACAAAAAGTGTTGAACTACAAGTATTGACCCTTGACTTAAAAGTATTGATTTTTTTGGCATCAAAGTATTAATATTTTTTAAATAGGACGTTTTTGTCAAGCAAAGTACTGATACCTCTCATAGATGTATCGATACCTTCATGTAGGATTTTAAAAATCCCAATAAATGTATCGATGCATGAAGATAGGTGTCGATACCTTATGACCATCAGGCATGAGTTTGAGGTAACTAAAGGCTATATTTTACATTAAATGAACTCCAATGGTTGTAAAGTTCCTTTAATTGTAAATAGTACTTCTCTAACACATTTTCAAGGTTGGAGGAGTGTGGATAAACATCATTTGCCTAATAATCAACTCATATGAAAAAAAATCAATCCAAAGCAAGCAAACACATTGTTTCACTTAGCTTTTTAACTATCTTTGAGCTTCAAATTTTTAGTGCTTTCATTTCTATTTTTTGTATACATTCTTATGCCAATTATACTATTTCAATACTATATTTACTAGCAAAACACACCTTATAGAGATATCTTTGCTGTCATTTTGTAAAAGAAAAAGAAAAAGGTTATACCTTAGCCATTAAAAGATAGAATTAGAGGTTGTGTTGAATCCTTAAAAGGCATAGAGGTTAAACCTTAGTTTTGAAAAGATTGTTGAAAAGGTTATGCTTGAACTTTTGAAAAGGCATCTGATCATAGTGGATTAAACTTTTTAACTTGCTAAGGGAGAAATGGTAAGCACCTATAGACGGTGTTAGCTCTTTATAAATCATTTACATCTTTTCTCTTGACTTTTCACTTCTTAAACTTGTGCATTTTACTTTGAAGAAAGTTTTGAAACTTTGTTTACAACTTACTCATTTGTTAATTTGTGTATCAAAGTACTCTTGACATATTTTAAAGTACAAATAAATTTGACAAACTTATATTCAAACTTGCCTTCATTGAGAATTGAATTTGTTGAATATTTCTGCATTATTATTGAGCTAACATTTTTAACAAATTCTTCAACCCTACTATATGATTTCTGTTGCTGGAAAAGGGTTTGTTAATACCTTTTAATCCAAAAATTAAGGGAATAAGTATCATTAGATAAATCTGAAAATTGTTAATAATCATAGAATTTTACCTTTCAAAAAAAAATCATAGAATTTAAATAAATCTAAAAAGCCAGAGCTAGTCAGAAAAAAAAATAAAGAATCCGGAGATAGGATTAGAGAAATAATTGCTTATATGGTCCTATCTCTTTTTTCATTTTTCTTTATTTTTTATTTTTTATTTTTCTGTATTATTATTATTGTTTTGTATTTTGCATGACATTGGCTTTATTGCAAACTTGAATTAGTAAGCTTAAGGAACATTAATCTAATAACTAATTCAATTAAAATAAGCCCTAAAGAGCTTAAAATTAACAATTGAGTTAATTATATAAAAATGGCATTAATTTAATTTATTTTCAAAATTTGCAAAAATAACTCCAAACAAAATGGGGTGTATTACGTCTACAATATATAAAAGATGGAGTTAGGAGCTTCATAGGAGTGTCACATGACAACTAGAGGTGACTAAATCTGACCCAAAATGAGAAACCCAACTCAACCTGTCTGGAATCGGACCTCAATAACTTGATAATATAATAAAATAGTGTAACTTAAAATTGATTTGACTCAAAACAAGACAATCCAAAGTAAAGTTACCCAATATCTAATTTTACCTCACTTTAAATAATCCAAAGCAACTAAACCCAACTTAAAATTATCTCAAAACTCGAGTGACTCACGTAACAGAACAATCCGAATCCAAACATCACAGAACTGGGCATGACCCATAATGCAAATTGACTTATTATTTAATTATAATAATAAATATTAAAAATCAGGAAATGAAGAAAGAAAAAAAAATCGAAGGTAGAACGTCCATTTTTATAGATAAATATCCAATTCATTAGATTTTTTTAAATAAAACTTAAGAGCATCAAATTTTTTAAAATTAAATTAAAATTTACAAAACAGGCTTCAAGTTTTAATAAGTTAATATCTTTTTTTGTGGAAGTATTTACACATTCAATCATAGTTTTGATAAAATAAAGTAAACACTTGAAGATTGAAAGATAAAACGGTAAGGTAAGCTGTCTTAAGTAAAGTTTGAAAATTGCAATTAAAAGTCTGGGTATATGAGTTCTAAATTGAGAATTGAAATTGATAAATTGGAAGATTCTCCAATAAAATTGAAAGAAACTTATACGGGCAATTTGGCATGGGTTCCGCCAAAAATTAAGAAAAATGGGGATAAAAAATCAGTGGAAAAAAAATTAATGGACAGAGTAGCAAACACATGTCGTAGAAGTTACAGTCGAGGAACGCTGGAGAAGGAGTAACCATGTCCATGTGGCTGCTGTTCGCCCTGACCCATTATTCACAAACCGACAAAGAGCCCCTTGCGTGCTGTCCCATCCACTGGCAATCTGGTAGCCTCTTTTCTGTCTCTTTATCAACTAGTGCTGGCCTGGCCTTTCTCTTGTTCTGTCACGTATACCTGCCCCTCAGTTTAACAGGTAAAAATAAATGTGTGCGCGTGGGCAATCTATGTGATTTCCAGCCAGACACCCGGTTGAACTCCTGAATCTGAAAAAATTGATTCTCTAACACGTCAGCTCTCGTGTTTGTTACGTAAAAATGAATGAAAAGCCCTCCCTTCCATATATACTTCCATTACACTCTCCAACTCGTGGAGCACAGCCAGCTATTCCATATCTCTTGGAAACCCTGCAATTTGTCTTCACGATCCATCCCTCTGCCTTTTTTCCATCTCTCTCTCACACTCTTTTTACTCAACGCCCATCGTCTTTTCTTTTTTATTATTTTATTTTATAGTAGCAGTTATGGCTGACAAGGTCAAGGACAGGGATGATGAAGAGTTCTTCATGGAAAATGATGGTGCTGATAATGAGGAGGACCTCGAAGAGACAAAGGTAGATGACGGCAGCAGCAGCAACAACAGTGATGATGACAGTGAGGGAGGCAGCGGATCCCCTTCTGCCGCTTTCTCTTCCCAACAATGGCCACAAAGTTTCAAGTATCACCTTTCTTCTCTTCTCATTCTGTATCGATCCACTATATGTATGTATGTATGTATGTATATATATATATATATGTATATATTCATTTCTGCAAAACCAAAACAGAAGAACTGGAAATGTCTAGTTACCTCCTGTGTTTGTTTTTGATTACTGGCTTAGTCAAGCGATTGATACCCTGTTCGAGTTGCATGTAATTAGTACATCTATTTGACAAGAGTTTAGTTTTTCTTTTCTCTGGCATACATATATAAGTAGACATTGTAAAAGACTCAACCTAGCAAGTCTTCACTAAGGAAGAAAACTAACAAATAAATCAACCTATAGCATGTAACCGGGGAAATTGAATATAAAGATGGAGCAAACCAGTTCATAGTGGAACTTGAACTGGGACCTAACCATACAAGTAATTCTGAAATTTTAAATAATAATAAACTTGAAATTTGAATTTGTATTAAGGAGATAAATGAAGTAAATAAAACCGTCAAGTTGTTTTGCTTGTTAAAGGGGGATATACAACATTTCAGCTTGCAACACATGATGTTTTCTTGTAAAATATTGATTGTTGATATAGTTATAATAATAATAAAAAAACATCATTTGAACCTGGTCTGAACCATCTGTAGGTGGTTCTTGGATTACACTATTTCCTCATATAAAAGCAAGTAATTGATTGTTGTTCCTTCCAAGGATATCACTTGTCAATGAGAGTAATTCTGTTTTGGCCTCACTTGGTAGTGAGGATGGGAAGAAGGAAGTGAAAAATCTTCAATATAATGGTTATTCTACAAACAGATGGTGGTTGAATCGGTCATGGATTTAAGCATTTTCATCCTTCCTCTTTCCATCCTCCCAATCATAAAAAGCCTAAATTTTTGCACTTTGCTTCATATAAAAGTTAGAACTTTCATTTATCTGCTGCAGACAATTGGAATCATTTTAGCCTTTTGCCACATCCTTCTGAAGCTGTGCTTTTTGAATACATTCTCTGTTGGCTGATGCATCACCTGCTCTTTTTCTGGGTACTTCTTTGTGTTTGTTACAGAGAGACAATGGATCCTTACACAATCACAGCATCACCAAGTTTTGGAGTTCTTGGAAGAGTTCCAAATTTTACACATTTTAGTTTTAGCAGCCAAAGTAAAAGTAGTTTGGACCTGGATGGAAAGCTTCCTCTACTGCCTGAACATCAAAAGAGTTGTCAGAAGGATTTTTTAGATTTCAAGAGCATCGTCATCATGGTCACGGAAGTCTTCACTTCATAAGCAACTTACCGGAGAATTTCCCGTTGCTTATGGATGTAATGTGACCCAGACTATCTTTAATGGTAAGCAATGTTGTTATAATGCTCTGTTGCCTTTACTTTTGATTTCTTTATTTCTACACTTCAAAGTGAGTGAAACTTTTGTCAAATGATCTAGAGGGAAAATTGGCGTAGTGTTGTCTATTTATCTGCTCCCATTCATGCCTACTTGCAACCAAGAAAAGAAAAGTGTCAGTTCAGTTCTTATTACTAACATCATTGGACATTTTGGAAATTAAGAGATAGTTTTGTTTTAATTTTCTTTTGGTTGTGCCCTGTGGTTCAAATTTTTAACTTGTTGGTTTTTCCTTTCTGGCAGTGGTAAATGTAATGGTTGGAGTTGGGCTTTTATCTACACCTTATACAATAGCAGAGGGAGGCTGGGCAAGCTTGTTGGTGCTAATCATTTTTGCAGTTGTATGTTGTTATACAGCCATACTCATGACATACTGCTTTGAGAGCAGAGAAGGAATTATATCTTACCCTGATCTTGGCGAAGCTGCCTTTGGACGATTTGGACGCCTTTTTATATCTGTGAGTTATTCAAGATTCTTGCTTGTTAGTATAATGAATAGTTTATTAGGCCAGCGTGGTCTTTACTGACAATCATATCCTACTATGATAGTGGTATCTAACAGTATGCATCTTACACGTATTGTTTCTTCTCATAATCATGATTTGTACTAGCAATTTCTATGTTTTGTCATGCCTCTCCTGATTTTCTATAATTTAAATATTAAATTTTATTTCAATTATCGTTTCTGCTACATATAACAATCAATGGTTTTGTTAATGATAATTGTGAAGTTGAAGGGAAAAAGAAAAAGAAAAATCAATTGCTGATGTAGCTTATATTTATTTGCCACTGATTTGTATGCAAACTTTCTAATACTGTATTTGTTTGATTGATGCAGATTGTTCTGTACACAGAATTATATGTAAGCTTGCGCTTCTAATTTAAATTTTATTGAATCATAGTCCGTGAGTTTTCTATCTAATTTACAAAATTCCATTTTAACCTGTACAGTCATATTGCGTGGAATTTATTATCCTGGAAGGCGACAATCTTACAAGGCTATTCCCTGGAGTTTCTTTGGATTGGCCTGGTTTAAAGATGGACTCGATGCACCTCTTTGGAATTCTAACTGCCTTCGTTGTTCTACCCACTGTTTGGCTAAAAGATCTCCGTCTGATTTCATATCTTTCAGGTGTTGCAAAGTTGTTTCTAAGATCCTCAATTGTTGAAGATACATTTTGAACTTACATCAAATTTTACTTTGCAGCTGGTGGGGTTGTTGCGACATTGGTGATAGTTCTTTGTCTGCTATTCCTTGGTGCAGCAGGTGGTGTTGGCTTCCATCATACTGGGCAAGCACTGAATTGGAGTGGCATACCATTTGTAATTGGTGTATATGGATTTTGTCATTCGGGGCATTCTGTGTTTCCAAATATCTATCAATCAATGGCTGACAAATCACAATTTAAGAAGGCAATGGTATTATGGTAAGGAAATTCGTGGTGGCGTGGAAGGATGTGTTATGTGGTCCTTTGGTTCTGATTTCTTCTTAATATCTTGTGCAGTTTTCTTTTGTGTATAGTATTGTATGGGGGTGTTGCAGCAATGGGTTTTCTTGAGTTTGGTCAAGGCACCTTGTCTCAGATAACTTTGAATATGCCACCAGAGTCTTTTATTTCCAAAATCGCGCTGTGGACAACGGTACATATGAGCCTCTGCATTTCATGGGTATTTTGAGCCAGAGAGAGAGAGATGTGATGTGGTTTCTAAGCTACCTTTCTTGTTGTTTTGCAGGTTATCAACCCATTCACAAAATATCCTTTTGGCTGTATATGTTAGAATTGTGAACATTAAATCAATGAATGAGTCTTTAGTTTTCTTCCAGTATACCTATTTTCTTCCTTGACGTTGACCAAATATGCATTGTTGATGATCCCTTTGGCAAGGAGTATAGAGGAGCTGCTGCCTGATCAAGTTTCAAATAGTTTGTGGTGTTTCATTTTTCTGAGAGCAGCACTTGTCTTTTCTACTGTTGGCGCTGCATTTGCCATGCCTTTCTTCGGTAAATTTTTGGAACTTCCTTTCCTTTGATGTTCTAGATCTAGTTATGTCTGGCCAAGTGCCATATCCTAAGAGCAGGCTAACGAATGGCATTGAAGTTTGTATAGTTCAAGTGGGGGAGTTGGGTGGAAGTCTAAACCTAGATTTGGTTGGGCTAGGAGAATGAGATCCTGTTTGAGTGGTGCAATTAATAAAGATTAAGAATCTAAAACCTGTTTATTTATTAGTAATTTATTATTGGAACTGAGTGATTTGAATGTGACATTGCTTGTTTGATCGCAGGTCTTATGATGGCCTTAATTGGTTCTGTTCTCAGCTCTATGGTGGTAAGTACTCTGTTCTCGCAGGTCTTAGAAATGGAAAAACCATTTATGGAGGCTTTTTCCTTCCTTTTTAGTTCTCCTGTTTGTAATTTGAAAGTATTTTAAAGGATTGTTTTCTGGACATTGGCATTCTTCTTATGCTTTGTTTTAGGCTATAATAATGCCATCGCTATGCTTCATAAAGATCACTGGAAGAAAAGCCACAAGGGCACAGGTAAGCAGACTCCACTTGTTATATCCATTTCTGCTCTTTTTCTTTTCTTCGAGAAAATAACTTGTGATGTTCATTTATTTTGTCTTCTTAAACATTTTCTTCCGCAATTACAGTAGGAAAATTAGAATAAATTGAGAACTAAGATAATGAATTGATATTAAACTTGTTGTAGATGCCTCAATGCATTGAACAACCATTGAATAAAATGTGTTAACACTGCTGACTTGCATCAATTATAATTTAAAGACAAAATGCATAATAAGTTGCTCTTCATAAATTTGGAAGCAGGCATATCTGTTATGACATCCAAGTGGAAGCGTAATTGACAATCAAAACTCAACACACAACTCATAATCAGTCCCAATCTCAAAAGAAAAAAACTATCCCGAAGCCAGACAATTGAAATCCAAGCAAGTGGAAGCATAATCTAACAATAAATCATGCACACAAAAGACAATAATTTAAGGTGACTCGGTACTCAATTTACCTACATCCACGAATGAGAGAAAAGATTCACTGGTTGTAGAGAATTACAAACATATCAAATTCACAATCAACATTTTAACACAACACACAATCAATCCCAAATCCAAATGCACATGAGCTCCTGCCTGGTTCATCTGAACACATTTCCATAAACCCATACCAAACGCAAATTCAAACACATGAGCACTCTTGTTTGTTCTCAATCAACCCTAACCAAACATCAAACATTCACACCCATGGCCGCTCTCCCTTAAGTCTTATGAGGTGTTCACACACTCAATCCCCTACCCTGTGAAAGCTACAACTTTCTTTGTATCTTTCGCTTATACCTCATCCATTATAGGCCCACAAAGAATCTTTTTCCTTTCAGAGTTCTTGCCTACAAGTCTTCGTGTCCATCAACAAAACTTGTTTATCAAGTAAACTCGATTACTATGCGATATCTTTCAAGCAATCAAAAAATCTTATCTAAATCATTTGGGGTTTGAGTCACAATTTCTAACAATTACTACTTTCACGTGGAGCAATGTTGGCAATGAAACAAGAATGTAACAACACATACTGCCACACATACACCTGCACCCACGGGCATTATGTATGTATTGTGCATGCATCCGTCATCACATAAGGTATGCAATGATTGACTAAAGTAAATTTGAAGCTTGAGATTTTATACATGGTGATGCTTTCCAATACAAGTAATAGATGCTTGCTTGGATCTTGATTAAACACAACAATGGTATTGAGAAAATTTTGGTACTTTAAGTATAAGATGCCACTTCAAATATCTGAGACTAAAGCATGTAGTTAACTTTTATGTTGTTGGTGTCCTATATGGAAGCCTTGTTGAGAAATTAAATCGTGTTTATCTATTATCTTGGACCAAACTCAAGCTTTAGAGTATTTTGTGATCTTCTTGGGAAAACCTCTTGGGTTGCTTCATCCCCATTTTTATTAACTTTATATGCATATATACTAGCTTATTTGCTCACCACTAACTGAAGGTTTTCAACCTATGAACAGATTGTTTTGAGCATTACGATCGCTGCAATTGGTATTGTCTGTGCTAGTATTGGGACATATTCTACATTGAAAGGGATTGCGAATAATTACTGACATCTAGACCGTAGCTCCCTTCTGGTTCAAACATAGAGATGGTGATCATGGGGATGCTTATTCTCCCTGCAGCATCATTACTGTTAAATAAATCAATGACTCTTACTTGCGAGCAGCCCTGAAATTTTGTTCCAAATACATTGATAAGGCATTAAAGAATATTAGGGTTGAGACATGTTCCTGCTCCTGTTAGTGATTGCTTTGATGTCTCCCGTGCTTAATTTTGCAGGAGTTAAATCTGACCCTACTTTGATTTTACTGAATTCATACTGTTTCCATCTTTACTACGCTGTTCCCTTCAACAATAAAAAGGCTAGGTGATTAGAGTTGGTGTATATATTTTATGGCTCATTTGCTACAAATTAGAGTTTGGTAGCTTTAGCATGTGTTAAAAAGGAAGTAATGTTGTCATTTTATGATGGTAAATCAAGAGTAATTAATTGAAGTCAGCAAGGCAAGATCAAAGTTACAAAATTCAGTAAGTATTAATGAGAACTTGATGAACCAAGTAAAAATTCACAATGAATTCTGTAATTGCATGAAAGTATGATAAGGCTTGAAAGCGTAATATCTAAGATTGTGGTGTACTCAATACATCTTATTGTAAAGATTAAAATGTGAATATGTTATAGGCCGTTGGTGATTGGAGGTTTTTCTTATTCTTTTCTTATATTTATAACTTTATCAAATTCTTTATAAAATATTTGTATTTTAGATTCTTTGCATTCTTGATTACTTTTCAATTTTATATTTTTATTTTTCACTGATTTATTTATTTATTTTATTTTTTCATTTTCAGTTTCTTTTTTAAACAGTAATGGAAAACTTGTTTAGTAACATGTTTTTATTTTTGATCTTTCAGAAATCAAATCGAACTTTCTAAAACTGTTGGAAGTAAGAACTTCTTATTTCCACTGTTTTCAGAGACAGTTTCCTTTCTGATACTGTTTTACTAGTAGGTGAATAGAGTCCAAGTATAATAAATTACATTCATGTGAAAAAGTTATTTATTAATTATTTTAAAATAATATCAAGTTTAATATAAAATATCAATAAATTAAAAAGATGTAATTAAATATTAAATACTACTAAATAATCAACTAGTTATAACTTAAAAAGTTTGAAAATATAGAAAATATATCGAATAAAAATAATAAACTAGAATTATTAGTATTATATACTTTCTTATGACTTATGAATATTATTTTATTTCATAATAATTTTTCATTATATTAACAATTTATGGATTTTAAAAATAATAAATATTATCAAGAAATGGATATTGATAAAGTTGACAAGCTGGGACATAGTTATGTTTTTCATTTATGAAATGAGTAATCAATCTTGTAGATTGAAGTGTCAAAATACTTGAACTAATATTTCGGTGCATATTACATAAATAAGTTCACTAAATATGATCCTATGAGAATTTCATTTGGTATATCATCTTAATTAAATATAAGGGAATATCCCATTAAATTTAATATGGGTTTCCATGTGCGAGATGGAAAAAATTGTTGGATTAATAATATGCATCTTTAGAGTGAGTTCCCAAGAATTTATGCACTTGCTGTGAATAAAAATGGTGTCCTTTGTGATTATGGAAATTGGAGCAATTCAGTTTGGTAATGGTGCATAGAGTTATGCCATAATTTATTTGGTTGGAAAATTCAACAATGGACGAGCTTGTGGACTCTATTAAGGCATTATTGGTTGACTAGAGATCTGAAAGATGCGATTGTGTGGAAAGCAACTTCTAGTGGCAGATACTCATCCAACTCTTTTTGCCAAGTTGCCTTATTTACTCAGGATGTCCAAAGTGTAGTATGGAAGAAGATTTGCTTTTGTTATGCTTGGTATAGGATTGAGTTGTTTGTCTAGCAACTTATGTGGAAGAAAGTAGCAGTGAAGATGGAATTGACGGCAACGAGCTTATTAAAGGGAGATAAAACTACATGTGTATTTTGTAATAGTCACTAAGAAAGTGTAAGCCATCTTTTCTTCTCATATAAAGCTTTTTGGAATATTTTGTGCCTATGGTGTAAACAATGGGAGATGCAATGGGTATCCCATGATGATTCTCAAAACTTTTTTCCTTGCATGCCAAACATTAGTTTTGGGGGTGATAGAGGTAATGTCCAGTTACTTTCTTTTTATGCCATTACTTGGTCTATATGGAAATTTAGGAACGATATAATTTTTAACAAAAAGATGTGAGATATTATTCAATTCTTCCAATTTTATCAAATTACGTGTGGCTGTCTGGTCGAAAACTAAATGGCCACACATACAATTAACATATGAAGGTTTAATTCATTGTCTTGATATTATTTCTATAGATAGACAAAGTAAAGCTACCAAGCCGAATGTTGTGTGGTGTGCTCCCCTAGTAGGTTGGTTGAATTTAATGTGAATGGTGCTTGTTCTAGTAGCCCTGGTTAGGCAAGAATTGGAGGTACCCGTCAGGATAGTTTAGTTGTATGCTTAAAGCTAAATTTTCCTAGGCAATTGGGGCAAGTGATTCTAATGGGGTTGAATTACTAGCAATACATGAGGCTTTTAAAATTTTTGATTCTATTATGCCAAATAGTCTTTTAAAACTTTGGATTGAGAGCGATTCACCCAATGTTGTTTTATAGTCAAACAACCATGAGGAGGTACCATGGAGGTATAGGTAGCTGGTGATCAGTTTGGAATGCTTACAAAATAAAACCCCTCGTTGGAAGATTACGCACATTTTACGTGAGGCTAACAGTGCTGCTAATGAACTTGCAAAGGAATAATATTAAGGAGTCAAGATTTAGTCCAAATTTTTGTTTAAAGTGGTGATGGCATAGGGAGAAGGCTTATTGTTTGGATAGATGATAAATATGATAAGAGTGTGGAAGGATGAAAACTTACTACCTAAATGGAATTCTTGATTGCCTTGGAAGTCTAGTGGAGTTACGAGACTTAAGTAAAATAGAGTTGTATAAACCGGGAAATTGTGCTTTTGATTTTAAACATTTACATGCTTTCGGGTGAGATATTGATATTAGGTAGTATTATGCTTAGTTGGATTTGAATGTATGTGAATGTGGTTTTTGCTTGAACTTTTAAATTGCTTGTTATTAAAAGGATGTGATTCAGACGGCATTATGAGAGGCAGTAAGCGGGCACGCAATAGATTTGGATAGGCATATTATTGGAATGCTACATGTTTGGATAATTAGCCCACATTTTGGACAAACATATTTCATCCCCTTTGACAAGAGTTCCTTTTGGATAGGCTCATTCAGGAAGAAAATTTTTGGATATTTGGCATTACAATACAATGCCAAGATGGTATTAAAGTCTTATTTAGATGCTTGGATATCCTTACATCTAAGCATTTTGTACTTAGGGGTTTTTATTTTACTACTTTTCTTATTTTCTTAGTAACAATAAAGTCCAAAGAGTTTCTTTGACAATTAGCAATAAAATTGCATAATTTTCAAAATAAGAAAAACTTAAGAAATCCCTTGACCAATGTAAGCAAAGATGTCGGCAAAGGGGTCTGGCAATTCTCAAATGCAAAGTTTGATTAGGAGACTCAGTGTTAAAATAGTCAAAATAGAGTAGACACTGCACAATAATCTATATCTTGTCCGGATGTTACATGATGAAATGATAACAATTACATAGAATGTGAAATCTTACATCGAGTAAGAGGATAAGTCAGGAAATCCTTAGGTAAGCATATAGATTGCATATTTGAATATCAAACTTAGTTTTAACCTTCAAGAGAATTCATTGACATTTTTTGTTGTCTATCACTTTTGAAATAAAAATTTTTTTAAGTCTGCAAGCGGTCAAAATATGTGATTTTTATAAAATAATCTTTTGAAAATAAAAAATGATAGCAATGATTCTCTTGATTTTTAGATGACCAAAAATGATTTTTCATAATTTTTGGAGTACGTTTGCTATTGTAAATGAAAGCTACAAATTTAATTTCAATCGAAATTTTTCGATTTTGTTCTTGAAACCAAAATTTAGATTTTGATTCTTTTAGATTCTAATTTTTTTTTATTTTTATTGAATCCAAATGGGGAGTGTTTTCTTATTTACATTAAATATCTTAAGTAATGGAGAGTAAAAGGGAAACAAGTAAAAATGAGGATATTTTATAGGTAATTTGTTTTAGAAACTTATAATTTATCAATACAATTTTTCTAGAGCTAAATACATCAATATAGTTCATCAATTTCAAAAAAATAAAAGTGGTAAAAATGTAATTTTAACCCTAACTTATAAATATACCATATTTTCTAAGGGTTGGCAACCCTCAGTTGCATTTTCAAGATAAAGCCCTAACTCTTATGCTCTTCCAAGCCATTTTTGGTCAAAATCACCTTTTTTGAAAGATTGAAGCTTGGTTTTGGGATTTAAATGAGAAAAATGAGATTTTCCCATTCTTGAATCTTTAACTCTTGGATTTTTGGTTTTTAAAGTATGGTTTGTTGTTCAAGAATTATTGATGTCTACGAACTAGAGGATTTGCAAGGATTTTCTCACTCGCTATATATCACCTAAGGTAAGAATGTTGATTTTATGTGTTTATACAAATGGGTATTTTGATTAGCAATAGATATAGTTTAGAAAATCAATTTAGGCAAACTCAAATAGCTTGAAATAATATGAAACAATTATTATGCGATTCCTAGACTAAGTATTAACTGAAATATTTATTTGGGAATTTAGGAACAGTTGAAACTCCAGAAATTTCGTTGAAGTAGACTTTAGCGTACTTGGTCGAAATCAACTTTTGAGGTGAGTGGGTACACCACTTTAATATGTAAAGTTGAAAGCATGATTTGAATGATTAAGGGTTTATTGATGAGCATGATTTCCCATAAATATTTATTCTAGAAAATGTATTTATGGATGTGGAAATGTTTTGGAAGTTGGTTTTTGAAACCATATGTATATGTAAATATGCTATTATGTATTAGTTTTCAATAAGAGTGGATAAGCCTTTTTATGATTGCAGTCAATTCGCTTACTCTGACCTTCGGTCTAGTGTGAGTACAATAATTATATATATGTGATTGAGAACGATTATGGATAATTAAAATGTTCTTAAATGTAAGTACTATGTTTGTGGATTGAGAAGGTCTCCACTTTTCCTTGATTCATGTGTTTGGCATGATTTGTTATTGATGCTTGATCTTGGTATGATGTCACATCCTATTTCCTAGAGAGATCATGGCCGGTGCATGAACCTAAGCGAGCATAACCTGTTAGACCCAAGCAAGCCTCTTATCATAACATCGTTAACATTCATCATTTTATGTAGAAGCATTTTAAAGCCTCCATTTACATATA